AGCATGTGATCTTTTTAGTAGGAGTGTGTAACTTTGACAGCATATTTGGGAAGACTGTGCCTGTTGATTGGAACAATGTGATTGTTTTCCTCTACGGAAGTGAAACTACTAGGAAAGAATGCAAAACACAACAGGATTAATCTGTTAAGTGTTGTTAGGAAGGTGAGTGGCAGCAGTCTGACTGAAGAGCTGCAGTAGGTGACAGTGAGGAAAAATTGAAGAGCCCAGTGTGGCTGTGGCTGTAGGTTGAGCAGTGAATATGCAGATCTGGAGTCCTTAGTGCACTCTGAGTTTGAGTCAAATTCTTCAGCCTGTCATGGAAAAATGAGTAACAGCAATATGTGAAGATGTAAGTGCTTCATCATGAGCAGGGAGTATTACCAGTATTACAAGATGTGACATCACTTTGGTTGTTTGGCATATTTATAAGGGATGTTTGACGTGATGGAAGGAGGTATGTTGATTTAAGACCTAAACATACATCCAATTTCATATGCAGTTACTGTCACATTATTGGGTGAAAAATTATATGTAACAAGGAGCAAGAAGCTAAACACTAGCCTAACAACAAACAAGGAAAACGTGCTCACAGTGAAAATGAAGTTAATAATTGCAAGTTTTGTATATATGGTGAAAAATCTACATTGAGTGGGTAAGTTTTCTTTACCTTGGTAGAAAGCTTACTACAGAGGGGGAAATGGATGGGAAAATATTAGAAAGTACAAATGTTGGTAGTAAGATAATAGATGTTGGGTGAGATGTTGGGTGATTTCTGTGAAGAATGAAAGAAAAAAAAGGTAAGATTTTTTTTGGGGGGTATGGGAATTGGAGTGGTTAAGAGAATAATTAAGTTGAATGCAATGGGAAGCTTTACTTAGCAGTACCAATGCAGATAGGGTCAAGAATGAATCTTAATCAAATATAAAATGAATGTAAGATTGAATGACCAGTGTTTTGAGGCTTTGCCATGTACAGAATATGAATGAAGATCAAATTGCAAAACAAGTATGTGAAGGATGAATGACTCAAGGGAAGGGGAAGATAAAAAATGTTGTAGTTGGATCAAGTTGATGATGACCTTAAAAGAGAGAAGTTTAAAGTTTAAAGACCATTAGGTTCCATTTCATTAACGGGCTAGGTAACTTCTTCAGAGATAACAAACACAGGAAAACCCTGGGACCCAGCAGTTCAACCCTGAGCTACATATATATTTTTTCACTGTTGGGAACAAAAGTTTTAACAACAAAAAGCAATGTGTAAAGCAAGGCACATGAATATTGGGGAAATAAGAATGGTTTCTGAAGATAGAAGAATACTGTGAGATATATTGATGGTAGGGTAATCTAGTTTTATCTATTTTTTCTTATTCCATACATTTTACTTATTTGTCTTACTGTTTCTTACTCATTTTGTGTTTGGCATAAGATTACTCACTCTGGGATAGAAGAGCTTGATATGTATGTATGTATGTATGTATGTATGTATGTATGTATGTATACAAATATTTATTTAACAGTAAGCTTTAAAAGTATCCAGAATATTCAGAAAACCCATTCTCTTAAGTTTTCTGGTAAAAAATAAGCAATACACATAAGAGCTAAGTGGGTAAGTATATGCACATATTGTATTTATCAGTAGAATTAGTTAGATTTTTATATTGTTATGCTTGTGCTGACCATTTTTTCTAAACAAAGACAAGAATGTTTAACAATTGTTGTATAAAAGTCTTTTATTTATCCCTATGATTTAACCTATTCACTGAACCTTTATTAAAAGATTTATTTTTTAAAAAAACTATCAGTATAAAAATAAAACATCCAACCCACTTTCACTATCTAAACTTTGTATATAGAATTTTAGATCTAACACGGATTAGAACAATAATCATCTCATTAATTCCAGTGTTTCAAGAATTATTTTACCTCTTGATTTGGTAGTGCTTTGAATAATGAATTCAGCTGGGTTGTGAATACTAAATAGCCCTGTACCACAGAATTACAAGCTTCTAGTCCTATGTGGTGAGTATAAAATAGGATCCATCACGGCTTTCAAAGTCTTTTTAGTTCCTGGTTGCTAGGATGAGAGGAATGTTTGGTAGACTCATTCTCTCTCCTCAGTTATTTTTCTCTTTCCCAATTCCAATTAGTATGAGAGGAAAGTTAGATACATAAGCCCCAGTCCAGTTTAGAGGATTAATCCGTTTATGGAACTTATTTAATGGATAAAAGGTCTTGAGACCACGTGAACCCCCCCACCCACCCACCCACCAATGTTTTCACACCTCCCTACTGCTGGCATTAGATTTCTGCCTGCATGTGTTGGGGTCTCCCATATATGCTTGAAAGTAACTCAGAGAATTTTTATCCAGTCTCTGGACAAGCTCACTAGGCCCTGCAGTTACAATACATCTAGAAAACTGAAGCAGATTTATAAGTGTTTGCCATATGCCTAAATAATAAACATATATACCTTTACTTCTGACCGATGAGAGGATTTTGAGTTGGTTCAAATCCCCCCAGACAAATCAGCCATTTTCATTGTATCACACAGATGATTTTTAAAAATGCCCTCCATTATTTCAATGACTTTTGCTGGCATAGCAATCTTCTGTACTTATCCATCACCCTTTCTTTTAAGAAACTGGCTATTCATTTCCTGGTATATTGTGCTAAAATTGTAGGGACACAGATCACATAGAAAACAACTGCTTCTTTTAAAGAAAACGAAAAGGATCAAAGAGTATGATAATAACACCCACTTTTTAAACACATATCCGCTTCGCTGATTCCCGATGGCAGCAGATTATATATTTTTCCTCCATTTGATTTCTATAGTCCTTTGCTACTTCAGCAGAAAGTGTTTCCGAAAATGTATTTTGACCCATCACATTTCCCCACCCCATTATTGTTTTGATGAATTGTAACAGAAGAGGAAAAACAATGCCACAGCAACAATGGAATATACCCAAAGCCTATTCTGTCAATAAATAAATATATAAATTGCCGGGTACAGACTTGGAAGTTCAGATTTTTTTAAAAAAAAAACACTTTGCATCTCATTAACTTTTTCTGTTGCAATTCCACCTACTTGATCCTAAATTATATGAAGTATGACAAAAAATGACCATGAGGGCTTTCCTTAATTTTGGGCATAGTAAAGGAACATTGGAAAGTTCTAGAATCAGGTTGTTCTTGTTGGATATAATGTAATGTAGTACAATAAAAGTGTTACAGGGCAGCAAGAGATGTTGAAGATTCAATCACTATACTGTAGGTTCAGGATTCAAATCATTTTATGTTTCTTTAGCTAAATAAAGCTTCAAACCAGTTTCCTATTCCCATAGATCACTCCAGACTGCGATGCTATGTTAAAAGTCATAAATAAATGACCAAGACATCAAATATTGCACTCATTGCTATATATATTATCAGACCAGCTGATAAGCTGCAAACATGTCTTTTAGAAAAACATACAATTAGACTGTTATTTCTTCTAAGAATAGCAATTCCTGGGTAGAATATCTGTAACAAGTTCAACACATACAGATTCTTTTGATTGTGCTTTTAAACATTTTGGTTTAGAATGTTTTTTTCCCCCTATTCAGCTCAGAATTCTACATTAGGAAAAGAAAAAAAAACCTCTTGAAGTAAATGAACACAGACAACTTTTTTTGGGGGGGGTGTTCTAAATATGAAGACTTTGCATATGGAGATGTTCTTCAGTGGAGCGAATATTACAGCTCATTTCAAACGATGAAGTTTGAGCGTTATAAAAAGAAAAGAGTGGCCATGTGTCCTTTAGTTCACATGCAAATAACATCAAAGAGACACAATGGTTACATCAAAATGCTTAACACCATCAGATTTTTCAGGGGTTGGAAAAGGAAATTATTATTTTCAAATCCATTATTCGTTGTTTATCTCTGGATTCGGCCTGTTACAGATGTGGGCTGAAATTCTTCCTCTATCATAAAAGCATGAAGGATAAATTACCAACAGTGTTAGTGCCTACAACAGTATCATTTGTGACTGAAAGTGTGTCTCAAAACTATCAATGAGAACAGTGTTCAAAAGGATATTTAACTTTAACTCTTCAAATCCAGTTTGTAATGGAACTCATCCATGTGCTATGGAGTCCTTGATGCTTTCTGAGTGGTTGTTTGCAGACATTTCATTACCTGACTAGGTAGCATCTTCTGCTTATGACATTGAGGACTCCACAGTTCAGCCCTAAGCTACATACTGTATATTCTTTTCTATCTTCTCAGCTGCTGGCTGAGGAAGATGTGTGGTCTATTTACAGGCTGCTCAATTCTTGGTTTTCCATTTAGTAGAGATCTTCACTAAATTTCATGAAAGTGTGGAAGGATAAAGATGGAAAATATTGATAAATATTAAAAATTGTGAACTCCAGAAATTCTCATGACAAATGAGTTATTCTTCATAGCTTATGATTTAAAAATGAAAGCAAATAATATCAGTGGGAATTCATATGGCGAACATAAAGGAAATCTTGTCCATCGTCTGATTATTTCAAGGCACATTATTTAGCATTTACCCTTACTGTAGAAATGGAAACGTTCTAACATTTCTGCTTCAGAATATAGTTCACAAAATTGAAACCAGCAAGAATTCAGGCAATGCAGCAGACAATAGACCAATAATTAACATGGAAAAACTTGGTAGCTCCTTCCTAACTCTTGTATATATTACTTTTTATAAATACAATAAATCTACACCAAGAATTGTGGAAAGACATTGGTTGAGGAATCTTTGTCCTCGTTTCCTTTTAGAGTCCTCCTTTAGTACAAGCCAATCAGCAAAAATCAGGCCTCCTTTCAAAAATTGTTTTAAAGTATACTACCCTTGATTCAGTCAGGTTCATCTACTCAACCTGCAAAGCCTTGCTTAGTTCAAGTGAGTCATATCAAACTATTTTGCCAAGCAAGATAGCATATCTCTATCTCTGGAAGTTGTAGAAGTCCCTCTGATGTTTCCAGTAACTTGTAGCTGATCTAGTTAACAGTCATAGTTCATCTCTGGTGGATGATGCATCAAGGGAAGGTCTAGGTGGCAAGGCATTCTTGTTCTGGGCATCTTTATGGATCTGGTCCTGTTGCCGTGATTTCCGGGAGAGTGTCCTGTCCCAATCAGTGGCCACAGTCTCGTTGTCCCAGATTGTAGATGTCTCTGTGTCACTGAGGTAACCTGGTTGTCCAGTGTAGTGTGTTGGATATATCAGCAAAGGCTCTGCAGAGAAAGCTTTCAAATCTCTAGGTTCATAATGTTCCATGTATTTGGCTCTTAAAAAAGAAAAGAAAAGTCACTAAGAAGTTACCCCATTTCCAATTTTTGATATCTTTTATACCTCACAGCAGAACAAACTTATGATTATAAACAGTGGCCCATTTAACATACTCCTTATCAATGCTGTAAATCTATATTCACACCCCTCAACTTGAACATATACGGATAATATATTTAAATGTTGGGAGGACTGGTATATTTTCTACAATTATAAGCCATTTTTCAACATAAAGGTCCTTACAGACCAGCACTGTAAAAATAAACATGTCACACATGGTCAATAATTTTAAAAAACTGAGGAACAAGGAACAAGTTCAACACTAACTGTAAGAAAGTATTGGCAGAATTTGGTCCACAACCAAATTGTTAAGCAAAGGAGAAACATAAATTAGTGCACAACTAACTAGCACTAATGATATTCTTCCAAATATACTGTAATTTCCCTAACTTCAAATTTTGATTGAAATAAATGTAATCAAGTTTTAATACTAAATACATTCACAAGCTAAAAGATATCAAAAGATATCTGAAGTTATCATTGGTCTCCTCATAAGATGACTTGACCTTATTAAAGCATTTCAATATCCCCTGAAGCTTTAAATCTGTATGGAGATGCAATAATTTGAGCTTCCAGTTGGACTATGGTGGCAAGACCATTTGGGTCATCTTAGTAGATGACTCATATGGGAAACCCAAGGGAACAAATGCAGCCCTCAATTCTCTTGGAGGCTTTCAGTATTATCAACTAAGGTTCTCTTTTAGACTCGCTAGACTTTGTGAAGGTCTGCAGCAACTGCATTTTTTCCATATCGGGCCAAGTCTAGAAGGAAATATTGGAGAACAACAACTTATGATTTAGTTATTAACTATGGTATCTCAGATAATTAAATCTTGGACAGAATTCAGTACCCATCCTTCAATAATAGGATGGCTGAGTAAGAATAAACTGAAATTAAATCCAGAAAAGACCATGTGCTATTGCTCTATAGCAGGGGTGTCAAACTGGTGGACCATGGGCTGGATGCGTCAGCACAGGCCATGCCCACCCCAGCTCCGTGAATGGGAAAAACATCGCAAAACGTCACGATGGCAACATGACACGGTGAGTTTGAACACCTGTCCTCTACAGGAATCTGAACTTTAAAAGGAATTATACATTTGAAAAAAACACTTCTGTGGTCTGGGAGTGCTCACTGAACCTCAGCTGGCACTGGCAAAGCAGGTGTAAAGGAGTATGTTTTTATGCAATTTCCCTTAGTGTACCGGCTGCAAACCTCCCCAAGCTGGTGACATTTAGCAATATTTAGCCATTCCTTGACTTCGTCTAATCCTTAAAAACATTCAACATAGTCTTTATAAACCATTCCATGTACAGCTGCTCATGAAAAATACCTGGAAGTGACAACTTGTGCAAAATAATGCAGGCAAGGCTGCTAACCTAACGGCCAGGAATAGGGATCAAAGATTAACAATGCTTGTTGTTTGCTTAACGGGAACAACTAATCTATAAAACCATAAAACAGCTCTCTATCTTGAAGACTGGTGGGAAAACCCTTCCGAAAACATTCTGCTATCAAAAGCCCAGCCACTTGCCATTCTCCCAGACTGTGGAACACTTTTCTTAGCCTTTCAAGAATTGGGCCAATTCTATCACTTTTGTCATACTTGACTAGTTTAGAATTAATAGGATATTTAATGACATTCTAACTTTTGGTTAAAAGTTTTAATTTTGTCAATGGCCCTGGGGGTCTGTATGAAAGAAAATAGATATACAATTATTAAAATGTAAAAAAATGTGACTTGGTTTTCATATTCCCAGAAGCAAATGTGCCCAGTACAGATGAGCTCTGCCCACAAAGCTTTCCCATTTATATCATGGCCAGTCATTTCCTACACACATAAAACTGCCGTTTATAGAAGGACTGTTGAAGAGATCATAGAATCAGCACCAGCTGTAGGAGAAGTGATGTTCAACCTCCGCTAAAAAGTATCCCATAAACCTGAAGCTTCAAAGTGACTACAGGAAGCAACTATTTACTGATAAGAAGATAAATACTGCTGTTGAATGCATCCTAGTATAAAGCTAGCATACACCTAATGCAAGTACAGTAATCACAACCAATAACCTACATTGGGTGCTTGTTGTACATGACTGGCAAGAATTCATCTACAGGGAGCATCTTGTTGAAAGGTTGAGCTCCAATTAGCTTCTGAGCTCCTTGCAAGGAGACTGCATAGCCCAGTGTCCAGTAAGAGTAATCAGCTTCCACAAGATTCATCACATTGGGTACAGCCTTTTCTGGATGCTCCACCTGCATCCGTTTCCGACCTATATATCTACATAGAGAGAGAAAGTTGAGTCACTGAACCCAGATGTCATTGGCCGATATGATGCAATGTAGAAACATCTAAGCTTAGCACCTTGGTGCCAGATCTCTAGCCAGAAGATCACCAGGAGCTTCATGAGAACCATCTTTTTTAAAGAACTAGTAAGAATTAACAACATTAAAAAAATAAAACAGACAGATGTGGAGTTAACATAAAAGCTTCCCAATTCCTGCGTTGGATCAAAAGCCACTTGGCCCAATCTTTCTTCATGTAGACAATGGATGAAAAGCACTGTCTTACTTGTATACCCCAACAACTGGGACTGAAAAGACGATTAAGTACAACGTACAGATACTGTGATTAGCAGCCATTGGTAGTTTTATCCTCTATGGACCTGTGCCATACATCTTCATGTCAATGGCTATCATTACATCTCATGGTAATTAATTCAGAAGGTTATACTAAAATAGTCAGCAAAAAAAATCTCCTTATTTTAGTTTTAAATTTCCTGGCATCCTCAACTACTGGTAGTCCTCAGCTTAAGACCACAATTGAAGCCAAAATTTCTGTGGTTAAGTGAGACATTCGTTAAGTGAGTTATGCTCTACTTTACAGCTTTTTAAGTGAACCACTGCACTTGTTAAGTTAGTAACATGATGTTAAGTGAGTCTGGCTTCCCCAGTGGTTCTGCTCTTTTGTCAGAAGGTTGGAAAGATGATCACACAACTTTGGGACACTGCAACTGTCATATAAATACGAGTCAGCTGCCAAGCGCCTGAACTTTGATCACATGACCCTGGGAATGTTGCAATGGCGATGTGAAAAATGGTCCTAAGTCACTTTTTTTAGTGCCATTTTAACTTCAAATGTTCACTAAACAAACCGATATAAATCGAGGACTACCTGCATTATGAGACAAAAATGTCTCCCTATCTGATTTTTCTCACTCTGCAACTTTTAGAATCCACTTCCCTATTTCTCCTTATTCGCTGTTATTTTGAAGCTCAAACGCCTCCAAATGGGTGCTCTTTCCTTAATAGGGAGCATTCAATTCCACAGAAGGGAAGACACTCAGAAGCAAGATTAGTGGATTATTACTTACATAAGATCCCAGTCAAGCTGTGCTCTCTCAATGTCATCCATTAGCTTTGTGAGCTTCTTTTTGAACTGATGCTCAAAGCGTACATCATCTTCGATGACTAGGCACTTCTCCATCTCCCTGCTTACTATCTTAAAGTAACAATTGGAAATAATTCAAATTAAATTAAGACAATTGCTCATGCCCTAATCCCCTCATGGCTGGACTGCTGGAATATGCTACACATGGGGCTGCCCTTGAAGTGCACTCAGAAGCTTCAGTTGGTCCGGATTGCAGCGGCACACGCAATGATGGCCGTAGTCCCAAGTGACAACTTTGCTTTGTAGAGCTGCATTGGTTGCCAGTATTTTTCCAAGTGCGTTTCAAGTTATGTCCTATTACCGCAGTTCTCTATATTGCATAGGGCCTGGTAACTTGAGGGATTGTTTATTATGCGTCTAGCAGCCTTGCCAGTTTGATCTGACATGAGTTGACATGCTCAGGGTCCCTTCAATTAATTAATCAATCTCATCTGTCAGGATCCAAGAAGCATGTCTTCTGGAATAAGGGTCCTCCCTCCAAAATCCATGTGAGTCAGAAAGAGTAAAAGATTCTGCTGGGCCTTGGATTAGGGTGCTTGGGGTTCCTGCTGGATTCGGTGTGGATATGGTTAGCCATATTCAGTTCTTGTTTTTCTGTACCCATTTAATATATTTCATAATTATTGCACCATATTTTCATTCAGTTTGGTTTTGTTGTATACTTTCTAGAGTTGGGTTGGGCAGTGTCTAAACATTTATATTTATGAACCACCATATTAGAAAAAGCTGTAATAAAATTGTCCCATGAGTTGTTTATCTGTGGAAGAATGCCTTCTCTGGAAGAATGCAAGTAAACCAGTGGAAACCAAGCGATCCATCATCATGAGATTTGCAAAAAGGAGGTGACGAAAGGGGAAAGGACAGGAAGCATTTCTGCCAATTACAATGAAGATACGCAAATTTTGGTTACCTCCTTCCATATATAATAGTGGCTAAGGAAACAGCCAATCTCTCCTCTGGTCAGCACTCTAGAAGAGTATGGATCCTGGTAACCAGGAAGCATATCTATTTTTAGAGCTTTCAGCTGGCTTGTATTCAGCATCCTGCAAGAGACAATGATTAAATTCCTTAGCCACTTATTTTCAAGATGGAAAGAAAAACTACAACCTATTAAGAAAAACCCATAAGGTGATGTATCTGTACAGTGTGTAGCAAAAAAAAACAACACCCTCCCTACAGATAGAAATCAATGCAGTGTGGTAAAATAGGAATTATTACTCTTTTTTTCCCTAACATTCTAGCTTTCAGCTTTCAAAGCATTGTTTTCATAAACCAGTGTTTTAAAATAATTATTTCTACTTGCAGTCAAAAGTGGTACTGCCAATTCTCACTACATATTTTACAAGATCTCATTTGTAACACTTTGAGCACTCAGTAAAAATGTGGATTCTGCCTTGCACAATTGTGTCTAATATGAAATGTACACAATTTGACCACTGAAGGAGAATTCAGCTGGATTTGTAGAATTCTTATAGGGAATTCAGCAGGGAAAATGTTTCCTAGGCAAGCACCAGTGAAATGAACAAGAAAACATGGTTAAATTTGATTCCAAGATACTAAAAATTCCCCGGTTTTACAAATGAGGAGGAAAGTGTTGATTAGTTAAAGATAATGTGAGAATCTGCTGGTGGTGGGAGACAAATATTTCTGCTCTTTAAAGAGATTAAAGAAGATGCTCAATTGAGAATCATCTATCCCCTGACAACTATATACACCATATATCTGCACACACAAAAACTTATTAAGGAGACAGTAAGCTTCTGAACAGTGTCTCGGGGAGAGAGATAGCAGGCAATTATTTTGCAGAGCAAGAATGTTGTTGAATCAAGCTCGATTTAATGCTCTCGTCTTCCCAAGCACAGAGATACACAGCATGGCTCACATTTGGCAAAGCAAGTCAGTAGCAAGGCTGGAGCAGAAACAATGTGACAGAGATACTGGAGTTGCCTTTATCAATGGGCGCATCTCACACTTACTGATGTACTGACTGAGGGGAATAATTGAGAAATAGTTGATAAATGTATCCCTAATCACATACAGCACTTTATTTCTTGCAGTCCTTAAACTAGGTGGCCCAAACACTCCTCCTCCCCCCAATTTTACAACTCCGTGTCTGGCAATGTTTACCAAGTCAACTCACTTTCCATCCACAGCTTCCACTAGCTTGACTTCAATTTCCTGTTCATATAAAGTCCACAACATTCGATCCCGTCTGTCTTTCCGACGCTTCAGATTGATCATAAAAATCTAGAAAGGAAGAGATCAGAAGCATGGAGGAATACCGTAAGAATAGCATGTGCTCCCCCCCCCGCTAAGTTTTATTTACAGCCAATGCTAAAATAGATAATGGCCATCTTAGAGGAGGGGAGAATTGCTAATTCAATTTCAAGGAAAAGGGCATCCCCCCTATATGGGGAAGGAAGTCTGCGGCCAGATTTGGTGACTTTGATAACTAAATCTGAGATTGTCTATATGAGGGTCACATTCTCTGCCTTGAATTCTTTGTGTATTTTATTTGTTTGTTTATTTATGGAATTTATATTGCCACCTATTTGCACATAGCAACTCAAGGTGGCTTACAGAATATAAAATCTCATATAAAAACAATAAAACTAATAAGAGTCATATAATAAATTAATATAATAAAATCACCTCCACCCCACAACAGCACCTCACACGAGCCATTTAATGGGCTCCATCCCACTCTGGGTTCCCCAGGCCCACTACCAGGTCTTCAGCGCCTTCTGGAAGAGTGCTAGAGTGGGGGCCAATCTAATCTCTGGGGAGAATGTTGTTCTAGAGAGAAGGGGCCACACAGAGAAGGCCCTTCTTCTGAGTCCCATCAGGTGTATCCTAAAGGATGGAACCCGCACCATTCCCTACCTCCCCACTCTGATGGGTCGGGTAGATGTGACCGGCAAGAGACAGTCCCTCAGATAACCTGATCCCAAGCCGTGAAGGGCTTTAAAGGTGACAACTGTTAGTGTTTGGGGATAAACCCCCAAGCAGAGTATGCAGCAGCAGT